TCTAGGCAGCTTAACAAAATGAAGAAGCTTTTTAAAATAAATGCTTGATCTGAAGAGGCCCCATGCTATTCTTTTAAATAGCAGAGAATAACCATACTTCTAGAAAGCACATCAGTTTTAACAGCATCTGTATAAGTATAGTCTGAAATATAACACTACAAACAGTGTATATGGTCTGTGCTGTTTGTTGCAAGGAGGCAAATTGCTGGGAAGCAGAGACAGATATTTTTCCCTTGTTTTCCTCCCCAAAATCTAGGTGCGTCTTATACTTCGGAGCATCTTATACTCTGAAAAATACGGTAATATGAAAGAGCACCTGTCATTTGGCAGCGCCTGTTAGCAGGCATCCACTCACCCGCTGCCCGCCACGTCCCATACCTTGTTGCGTCCCTGCTGCATCGCCAGCCGTCCCATTAAAGCGAACGGGACTGTCGGTGAGTCCACAGCGGGCCGCTGCGAGAAGAGACGACGAGTGCTCTTTAAAAAATTATGATTTAAATCGAAGTCGATTCAAATCAAGCCTTTTTAAAGTAGTGCTTTTAAATCGACTCAATTTAATTCAGATCCAGCCTGGTCCTGGCCAACTTGCTGTGGGATGTTTTAATCATTCGATTTAATCGCCGTATTTTCCAGACGATAAGACGCACCGGTGTATAAGAGGCACTAAGATTTCGAAGAGGTAAGTAAGAAAAAAAAAAGTTTTTGTCCTCCCTGCCCCCCCCCCCAGGAGCACTCTGCAGGCTTCAGCAGGGCTGGGGGGAAGGCAAAAATGCCCCTGTTTTTGTGAAAAATAGGGGGGAAACGGAGCGTTTTTCGCGAAAAGCCTCCGTTTTTGCAAAAAAGTGGCCCGTTTTTCACCCTTTTCCTTGCAAAAATGGGATGCAGGAAGCCAAAAATGGCTGCATTTGTTGTATAAGAAGCACCAACATATCCGCGCTCTTTTATAGGGGAAAATGGTGCATCTTCTACTCTGAAAAATATGGTGTTTCAAACAAAAACATTGCAACTTTTGACATTCACGTGCCATTCCGTCCTTCCTTTCGTATTCTTTCCGTTCCACTGTTTCTTTGATCTTAGCGTAACTCTGGTCCCGCAGGGAATTCTCCCATGACAACGGAAATGGCCACAAGTGGCGAGTTGGCCACAGTGAAATTGTCGTAGACCTGTTATTTCTGTATGTGTACCAAAGCGGCAAGGATTTTTTTCTTAATATATAAAAAAAACTTTTTTCCGTAGTGTATTAATAGCCAGGCTGCAGACTGGCTGCTAAATTCAGAAATAGCTTGGAGGAGGATGTAAGACATTCAAGGAAGTCACTCTGGAGAGCTAAAATATCCGTTACGGCAAACTCATTGACCCAAACTTGAATGAGGTTTGTTCCCCCCGGTGTGCCTTTGATTTTGGTTCGGCGTCGTTCACCAAAACAGTGTTTTGATTTCCTAGGAAATTTAAAGATAGGTTTCGGGTTTTTTTTTCCATTAAACCCTCGCTGTTTTATTGCTGCAACAGCCTCCTTGGTGCCTCGGCAGGAGGAATTTTGCTCTCCTGGCGATATTTCCTGACGGAGAACAGGAGGTGCAGACGGCTGCAGTTATTCTTAGCCGAAATATTATGCTAAACATGGGCAGCCGAGGGTATTTATGGCTCGTAAGGATGCTGGGATGTGATTCATGAAAACAGGATTGCGTTGTATATCTATATCTTCTTCTATCTATATAAATACTGCTGTGTGTGTGTGTGTGTGTGTGTGTG